TGTAGCCCATAGCGATCTCAAAATGAGTACATCGGAACCGGCGCAATTTATATTAATAAAAGAGTAAAGTGATTGACTGACTGACTGTTTTAACGATTCATCAACGCCCATATGAAACGGCAGAAACTAGAATCTTGAAATTTCGGGTGAGGGTCACTCTTGGTCCAAATGTGATAGATAAGGCTAGGTTTTTGGAAATTCGTACTAGAACGGTACGAAAAGTACTAGAAAGTACTAAAGGGTGATTTTTTAAGGTTAGGATTTTCATGCATTAGTATTTGACAGATCACGTGGGATTTCAGACATCGTGTCAAAGAGAAAGAAGCTCAGTATGCTTTGACATTTCATCATGAATAGACTTACTAACGAGCAACGCTTGCAAATCATTGAATTTTATAACCAACATCAGTGTTCGGTTCGAAATGTGTTTCGCGCTTTACGTCCGATTTATGGTCTACATAATCGACCAAGTGAGCAAACAATTAATGCGATTGTGACCAAGTTTCGCACTCAGTTTACTTTATTTGACATTAAACCAACCACACGAATGCGTACAGTGCGTACAGAAGAGAATATTGCGTCTGTTTCTCAGAGTGTTGCTGAAGACCGTGAAATGTCGATTCGTCGTCGATTTGTGTTATTCGACCACATGGAACATTTTACGCAAAGATCTTGGTGTAAACCCGTATAACCCGATCTGCCACAACGTCGAATTTTCAGTGAATGGGCCCTAGAAAAGTTGGCAGAAAATCCGCTTTTTTATCGACAAATTTTGTTCAGCGATGAGGCTCATTTCTGGTTGAATGGCTACGTAAATAAGCAAAATTGCCGCATTTGGAGTGAAGAGCAACCAGAAGCCGTTCAAGAACTGCCCATGCATCCCGAAAAATGCACTGTTTGGTGTGGTTTGTACGCTGGTGGAATCATTGGACCGTATTTTTTACAAAGATGCTGTTGGACGCAACGTTACGGTGAATGGCGATGGCTATCGTTCGATGCCAAAAATGGAAGAACTGAACTTGGTTGACATGTGGTTTCAACAAGATGGCGCTACATGCCACACAGCTCGCGATTCTATGGCCATTTTGAGGGAAAACTTCGGTGAACAATTCATCTCAAGAAATGGACCGGTAAGTTGGCCACCAAGATCATGCGATTTGACGCCTTTCGACTATTTTTTGTGGGGCTACGACAAGTCTAAAGTCTACAGAAATAAGCCAGCAACTATTCCAGCTTTGGAAGACAACATTTCCGAAGAAATTCGGGCTATTCCGGCCGAAATGCTCGAAAAAGTTGCCCAAAATTGAACTTTCCGAATGGACCACCTAAGACGCAGCCGCGGTCAACATTTAAATGAAATTATCTTCAAAAAGTAAATGTCATGGATAGCGTTAGAAACTTGAAATTTGGAGTGTGAATTAAGGTTGAGAAGTAGGGTCCATTTAAGGAGATGGTTTTTGAAAGCGTGTACTCATGTGTACGAAAAGTACTATATGGCACTATATTTGGTACAAATTTAATTTGGAGATACACATCGAGCTGGAATCCTGGAATTTTAAATTAAAATTGCCGTCGGAGTGTAGTATTGGGATATGAACGTAGTTTTGGTAATTTGTTACTTATGTGTACGAAAAGTACTAAATCGTACTATAATCGGTACAGTTTGGATTTGGGTGAGCCGATAGAGTGGGAAAAATTTAATTTGAAGTCAGGATCACTGTAGGGGTGTAAGATTGGGGTCAGGATTCAGTTTAAGAAAATAATACTTATGGGTACTAAATGGTACAAAATTTGGTACAATTTGAATTTTTATGTGAACCAATAGAGCTAGAAGCATGAAATTTGGAGTCACGATCACTGTTGGGGTAATCGGTACAGTTTGGATTTGGTAGATCCTATAGAGCGGAAACAATGAAATTTGGAGTCAGGATCTCTGTAGGGGTGTGGGATTGGAGTCAAGACTCAGTTTAAGAAAATAATACTTGTGGGTACTAAATTTGGTACAATTTGAAGTTTAGGTGAATCAATAGATCTAGAATCAGGATCAATGTTTGGTGTAAGATTGAGATATGTAGGAAGTTTTAGAAATGTGTACTAAATTTGGTACAATATGAATTTTAGGTGAACCAATAGAGCTAGAAGCATGAAATTTGGAGTCACGATCACTGTTGGGGTAATCGGTAAAGTTTGGATTTGGGTGAGCCGATAGAGCGGGAAAAATTAAATTTGAAGTCAGTATCATTGTAGGGGTATAAGATTGGGGTCAGGATTCAGTTTAAGAAAATAATACTTATGGGTACTAAATGGTACAAAATTTGGTACAATTTGAATTGTAAGTGAACCGATAGAGTTGCAATCCTGAAATTTGGATTTGGGATCACTATTGAGGTGTAAGATTGAGATAGGTAGGAAGGTTTAGAAATTTGTACTAATGTGTACTAAATTTGGTACAATTTGAATTATGAGTGAACCGATAGAATTGCAATCCTAAAATTTGGATTTGGGATCACTGTGGAGGTGTAGGGTTGGGGTATGAAGGAAGTTTTAGAAATTTGTACTAAGTGTACTAAATTTGGTACAATTTAAATTGTGGGTGAACCGAAAGAGTTGGAATCCTGAAATTTTTATTTAGGATCACTGTGGGAATGTAGGATTTTTGGAAAGGAAGATTTGGAAATTGGTACTACTATGTACTAAATTTAGTACGATTTGATTTTTTGGGTGAACCGAAAGAGTTGGAATCCTGATATTTCGATTTATGAACACTGTGGGAATGTAGGATTTTTGGAAAGGAAGATTTGGAAGAATTGGTACTACTATGTACTAAATTTAGTACAATTTGTATTGTGGGTGAACTGATAGAATTGGAATCCTAAAACTTGAATTTAGTATCAGTGTGGGGGTGTAGGATTGGGGTGTGTAGGAAGTTTTGGAAATAAGTACAACTGTGTACTAAATTTGGTACAATTTGAATAGTGGGTGAACCGATACAGTTGGAATCTTGAAATTTTGATTAAGGATCACTGTGGAGGAGTAGAATTCGGGTAAATTTGATACAATTTTAATTGTGGGTGAACCAATAGAGTTAGAATCCTAAAACTTGAATTTGGTATCAGTGTGGGGGGTGTAGGATTTGGGTATATAGGAAATTTTGGAATTGGCACTGCTGTGTACAAAATTTGGTATAATTTGAATTGTGGGTGGACCAATAGAATTGGAATCCTGAAACTTATATTTTGGATCACTGTGGTCGTGTAGGTTTGGGGTGAGTAAGATGTTTTGGAAATTCAAACTACAGTGTACTAAATTTGGTGCAATTCGAATTGTGGGTGAACCTATGGTGTTCGAATCCTGAAATTTGGATTTAGAATCACTGTCGGGATGTTGGTTTGATTTAAGTAGGAAGTTTTGCAAAATCTACTACTAAATTCAATACAATTTTAATTGTGGGTGAATATAATAGAGTTGGAATCCTGAAATTTGAATTTGGAATCATTGTGGGTGTATAGGATCGGGGTATGCAGGAAGTTTAGTTAGAAGGTTGAGGAGGATAATTATGGAAATAATGTGGACAAAATTGAAAATTTGAATTTGGGTGAACCTTTATAGCTCGAATCATAAAATTTGGCACAGAATGGTACTCAAATTTAATTTATGGTCGATATTAATGTGTCGATTGTTTTTTTCGATTGTTAAGGAGGGTACTTATGGAAATAATGTGGGCAAAATTGAAAATTTGGTAAAATTTGGATTTGGGTGAACCTTTATAGCTCGAATCAACGAAATTTCGCACTAAATGGTACTCAAATTTAATTTATGGTCGATATTAATGTGTCGACATATGCAATATGTACTACATTTTGAAATATTTCCTATATTCGCTAACGAAGTTGCGGGCATATGCTAGTAAAATATATTTTTATCCAAGTCGTGGATTTATTAAAAATATTTTTTTTCGAAGGCTAATCAAAGCTTGGTTTTGTTTAACTTTAAATGCAAATACGCCAAAATTCAGATCTTCTCATATCAATATTCCAAATCCCCTTTTGATATCAATTCATGCTGCTGTCCGATTTTCTGCAAAATCTGAAAAAAAACTGCAAATTATTATCTCCACTTGAACTAATATTTAAAAACATAATCAGTTATTTAATTTTGAAATATATAAACACTTGATAAATGATTTATTTATCTCTTTTTTTACCCACACCACTGGGGGCCTGAGTTCCATTTCTCCAACGTTATCAAAACCTCTCTCCACTTATAACCATTGTCACAATCTCAACAGCATTTGCCATTGACATTTATTTAAAAAAAATAGCAACAACAACAAAAGCAAATTTCTTTCAAAATCAAACCAGTTTTTGCTACGCAATTTACTTTGAATTTTTGTGTTGCGATTTTGGGAATTTGAAACAAAAACAAGTGAAAAAAACGTTAAGTTCAGCCGGGCCGAACTTTGGATACCCTCCACCATAGGTATACTAACAGATACTGGCAATGAAAATATATGGAACACACCAAAAAGTGGGCATATACCGATAATTCCGATACAGATAAGACAAATTTCTGGAAATTTTTAATGGGGATTTTTCTAAAAATCTGTAAGCTCCAAAATGTGGACTGATAACGCATGGTAGAGTATAAAATCCTCATACTACTGTAATTTAGATTACAAAGTTATATGAGGCTATGCCTAAAGGGGGACCAATATTGATTACATAGTGTAGGAAGTAGCGAATAGTTGGGAATATCACTATATGAGGGATATACCTAGTTAATGACTCCTAGGGGAGTTGTCAATCTCCTACTAGGCGCGTCTTCACGGGTGGCGGATGGGTAGGGGTCTCCATGATGTGCAGAGAAAAACTGACCTAGGCCTCCTAGATCAACTATTCTCTGCACTTCATGGGTGCCTTGGGGATCTTCGGATCCCCCGTGGACCAAAATGGATCGGGGTTGTGCCCTTAAATAAATTAACTACGATGGAAAAAGAATAGAGTTACGCTGCAGGGAGTTAATAACCCAGTACCGGCGGCAATTGTTGGTGAGGTCACAAGCCACGTGTCGTCGAGATCAAGCGATTGTGATCCGGCTGTTCTAGGTGTGGGTGCCTTGGCACATACAGCCGTACCTGCTACAAGTGCATCAATTCCAAACCAAAACGTTGACGAACCGGATATTCCTTTGGCAAAAGAAAATGTCAAGACAGATGAAAATCAGTCTTTGGCTGACAGGACTGTATTTCTGGGAGGGGACGACCTACATGGGACTCTACGCGCTATCCGCGATAGTCTAGAGGAACAAAGCAAGGAACTCTTCGACCAGTTAGACAGACTGGTACCGGAAGAGCCATGCGGAGAAACGCTTCCGGAGGAACTGCTATTAAATCTTACCCTAACTGATGATGAGCTGGACACCACGGTGATCCCAGCCAAGTCTACACAGGGGGATTGCCATAGCACACATGTGACTGCATATCCCCAAACCTAACCTAATGACCGGTATATGTCAATTTTGATCCCAATATTTTAATTTTTTCTCTCAATTCATTCCATCAAGAGGTATCACTACATTGAGGTGATGCCTAAATGTCTGCCGATATATTTCATTATTGTCAGGGATGAGTTTTTTTATCACGATATCTTTAGAAGGCGGAATGATTGCAACATATGGCTAAATCGTCTTTGTAGGATAAAAATTGACTTTTCCCAGTAACAACTACCTCCCATATTACGGCAGAATAGAATAGGGGCAAAACCCCAGCACACGGAACAAATCAGATAACTATTTTAATATAGAAAAGGAGGTTATGTAGGGACTACCCCTAAAAAAGGGTGAATATTAATAATTTTTGGTGGGGAGATTTGTTACCATATACGACTACAAAATACCAAATTACAGCGAATTCGGTTGGAAAACTCGCTCAAGAACCTCAAAATATCGAAAATTGGGGGTACCCTTGTATGGGGATTACCAGAAAAAAATTGACCTATATTTATAATTTTTTTGTGGAGAAATTTGCTTCTCAATAAAAACTCAAATTAGTAAATTACAGCCAATTCGGTGTAAAAATGCGGTCAAAACTCCCCAAAAACTGAAAATTGGGAGGTAACCTTAAATGGGAGCTTCCAGAAAAAGTGGACCTATATTTATAGTTTTTAGTGGGGAAATTTGGTACCCAAATTTTCGGTTGAAAAACGCGCTCAAGATCCCCAAATAATACCAAAAATAATATAATTATATGGGAACTATGCCTAAACGTGTACGGATATAGCCCATCGTCGAACTTGACCTGCCTGCAGACAAAAGAAAAATCTATACAAAATTTAGCGTTCTATCTCAATTCGTTTAGACGCTCGAGTGATTACAACAGACAGACGGACATGCTTAGATCGTCATAGAATTTTACGCTGATTAAGAATATATGTACATTATAGGGTCGGAAATGATTATTTCGATGCGTTACAAACGGAAAACCCAAACTAATATACCCTCCATACTATGGTGGATGGTATAAAAATCGCAAAATGGAATGAAAGAAAGGTAGGTAATTCGCACACTACTCTCTTCTCACACTCTTCCATATGATTATAATTCGAAACAAAGGTTGTTACATTGTATGCAGTTGTTGCTTTGGTTATTTTTTGGTAATGTTCGGTTAAGTGGTTGCAAAACTGCAGGTAGATGAGTCGTAAATGGCGTATTTAAACGACAGGTAATAAAATGTATGGAAAGATAATTTTTTTTGCCATTTGTCTAAGCCTTTATTGTGTTTCAGGGCGCTCTACTGAGAAAGTGGAAAGGGGATTTTTTTAAAAGGTGGGAATTTTTTCTAGAGGCCAATAGTTAGTGGGTACTTTTTATACCCTACACAACTATGTTGTCAGGGTATTATAGCTTTGTGCAGCCCCAAGAGTTTGTAACGCCGCTGAATATTTGTCCTAGACCCACCTTTAAGTATACCGATCGTCATATCTCGACTAGATGAGTCGATCTAGACATGTGTGTCCGTCCGTCCGTCTGTCCATTATAATTTGTAAACACGATACAGGCCATAGTTATGGACCAATCTTCACGAAATTTTGCATGTAGGATGGGTTCGGCCCAATGAAGACCCCTATCGGTTAACATTTAGGGGATGAAATTGACCAAATACTTAATTTTTGTCGGTAGCTCCAGAGGCCGCAATTATGACCCAAACATCTTGAATTTTTACATGGAGAAGGGCATCGGGCCAAAGAATAAGCATGCCTGTTCTGATAAAGATCGGTCAATATTTAGCGAATGAAATGCACCCTGACTTTTGTGTCAAAAATTTGTATTCTATAGCGTATATATTTACTCCTGAGGGACATAGACCCGAAAAGTTGATAGTATATTTAAGAGGAGCAGTTGACCTTTAAATTGATACCAATTATATTGTCGTATGTCCTCGGATGTGGTAGTTACACGTAAATATCTTCAGGAGCTTACGTATTCATATATTATTTAGTAAAGAATTACCACACTGCTGGTCGAAATATAGCGGTGATCGTTTTGCAATGTTCCATGAGGTTCCAGCTATGGTCAAGAACATCGCCTATAATTTTTCGTTGATGTTCAGATACTAATTTTGGGATGAAGTGGATCGAATACTTAATTTTTGCTGAGTGTGTGTGTTTTTTATCGACAAATTTTGTTCAGCGATGAGGCTCATTTCTGGTTGAATGGCTACGTAAATAAGCAAAATTGCCGCATTTGGAGTGAAGAGCAACCAGAAGCCGTTCAAGAACTGCCCATGCATCCCGAAAATGGTCCCAGCTATGGTCAAGAACAACGCCTATAATTTTTCGTTGATGTTCAGATACTAATTTTGGGATGAAGTGGATCGAATACTTAATTTTTGCTGAGTGTGTGTGTTTTTTTGATTCAATCTATAGGCCACAATTATAAGCAGAACATCACAACACAACCCACGGTGAAAAGAATTTGGACAAGTAATTAGAAGGACTGTACTGAATATTAGTTATATTCGCCAAATATGTCAGTGTAAGGAAGTGGTGCTGTTGACCTCTAATCAGGCAAGAGGGTGCAACTATCACGAAATATTACCCAGGCTCAGAATAAACTCCAGCGGAAAGTTAGAGTTCTGTGGTATTAGAGTTGGGTATCGTATGGTCGGCCCCGTCCGACTATACTGCTCTGCCCACTGGCTTTTAAATATATTTTTCTTGGGTCAATAGTTGGTAAGGATTTTTTTACAAAATATTTCTTCAAGGTCCAATATCCAATATATTCAATGGAGATTATTGGGACCAACAGTAGCTGGGGAATTTTTTTAATATAATTTTCTACGCATCTAAACTATTATGGGGCCAATAGTTGGTGAGGATTTTTTTTTTTAATATTTCTTCAAGGTTTTTAATTTTAAAAATATTTTTTAAGGACACATTTTTTACGGACATAGGAACGGGATTTCTTTTAAATATTTTTCTAGATCCCATAGTTGGTGGGGGATTTTATGAAAAATATTTTTCTGGGCACCTATACATTGCGGGAATTTTGAAAAATATTTTGCTACTTACCTCTACAGAACGCAGTTTTTTTATAAACATTTTTCCGCCTTTTAACTCCAGCAGAAAAAAATAACTTTAAATGCAAATACGTCAATATTTCTCCAACACATCTCAGGATAAATGTATAACTTTAAATCAGGCATGCTTACCCATATACGCTACCGTAACTGAGGCTCGATGGGTTAACACATTTTCTCTTTCTTTATCTTTGCGTCAGTCGTTTTTAATTGTGAATTCTCAGTTACGCTCGCACAAACTTGCTCTCAATTTTATTTTGTCCAACACTGCTTTAAATGCAAATACGACAAAATCTACGCGGCAGCGTACACACCTCCAGAATCCACCCTTCATTTCGAAAACACCTGCAATGAAACAAAAGAAAAAAGAAACATTGGTAATCACTGCATTATATTGGCCCCCCCCCCCCCTATAATGAAGAGGTAAACATTATTTGCCTGTTATCCATTATACACATGTGCTCCTCTCTCTCTGTCACGCACTCTCTGATTACCAAGTAAGCATTACTATCGGCCTCTGTTATTGTTTTCATTTGGAGATCATGTTGTGCCTTGCATCGCCTCCTCGTTAATGACATTACTGTGCATGTCTTTCATTACTCCCTTGCATGATGGATCACACACACTCTCTCTCTCCCTCTATTTGTGCGCTTCATTACTTTTGCTGCCTGTCCCAGGCAATGTTATTGTTTTGAAAGGCATGCATCGTCTCCACTGTTAAAGAAATTACTGTGCATACTCTCCCTATTTCTCATTCATTCTCTGTCTCTCCCTTTGTGTGTGCTGCATTACTGACTGTGTGTCTGCCTGCCTCAGGCAATGTTATTGTTTTGAATGTCTTGCTGTAATTTGCATCGTCTCAACGACGTTACTGTGCATACTCGTGTTCTGTCTCTCTCTCTCCATCTCTGTTTGTGTGTTTCATTACTCTGTAATGATTACTACTGCCTGCCAGAAGATCTTGCTTTGGTTTGCCTCCCATACATCAGTTACAGTTTGTGACTCGCCATTAACGTGTCGTTTTAACGGCGAATGTGTTCGTTGTTTTTCTTTCTTCTTTGAATGGATCGGCCGCCTTTGAACCATTGATCTCGTGCGTTTGTGTTTTATTAAAGTGGATTACTAAATAAATGACAGTTCATGTCATGAAAAACATAACGAAGAATTAAAAATAATTATACAAAAAATAAATAAAAAAACAATAAAAAAATTCAAATTCAGTCTCGTGATAATCTTAAAAAATATTTAAAAACAAAGAAAACTTCTTTTTCGTTTAAAAATAATAATAACCACAAAATATATACCCATACATATATTTACCCAAGAAACGTGAGTGCTTATTGATAAGTGGACTGACACATTTTCCATTCAATGATAAAAATTATGAAGAAAAAAAAATATTTTTTTTTGTTGCTGTTGCTTTTTTTTGGATAGTCTGCTACTATATAAAGTGCATTTTAACAATGGGGGTTGTGTTCAATATATGGTTATAGGGGGAGCTAAGAGGAGGTCACTGACACGTAGATAAAAAAATAAATATGAAATTTATAAAGAAAAGAAAATCTGCTGGCTAGGTGATATGGGTGGGAGATATTATAAAAATATAAATAAAAAATAAAATATTAAAATTAATAAAATTTTTCAAAGTATAAAACCAAATAATAATTAATTATGAAATAAATAATTATTTATAATTATGCTATAAATTGTCATACACTTAATTAAAAAATTAATTAATAAATATAATTAATAAATTAAAAATAAAATAAACCAGTGAGTGGAGCAGTATAGTCGGACGGGCCGACCATACGATACCCTACACAACTACCACGGAACTCAAATTTTCTGCGGATGTTTATTCCGAGACTGGGCAATGTTTCGTGATATTTGCACCCTCTTGCCCGATTAGAGGTAAACA